TTGTGCAAAGTAGAACAGAACTGTCAGCTTATTTTAGACATTAAACTTATATTAATGTTGCCTGAGATTCTTTGCTTCGGCGGAAGCCCCATTATACTAGTCATTCACTGAACTTCTAACTAAAAAGTAAACAAAAAATTTAAGTACGTAACTAAAAGCTAAAGTTTTGGTGAAGGAAGGAAAAGTGGGTGATAACTTTGGTTGATAACAGTTTTCTTAAAAAATAGTCACTATGAAATTGAGGAAATGTGAGCAAATTGTAGGATATGAAGCCCAGTGGGACTTTCTTTTCTATCTTTCTTGTGTATATGTGTTACTTTCTTCCTCTCTTCCACTGCCCTCTCAATGGGTATTAAGAGATTCAGAAAAATGGTGACAGTTTATGTAGAGCAGTTTCCCGTGAGAGCTGGAGTAGATGTGCTTCAGGAATTCATCTAGGCAAGTGAAGAGGAAACATTTTAAGAAATAGGAATGAATAAAAGGATATTGATGGGGCCTGCCCCGTGGCCGAGTGGTTAAGTTCCTGCTCTGCTTTGGCAGACATGGCACTGCTAAACAAGCCATGCTGAGGCGACGCCCCACATAGTGCAACTAGAAGGACGACCTACAACTAGAATATATAACTCTGTACTGGGGGGCTTTGGGGAGAAGAAGCAGAAAAAGAAACAGAAGATTGGCAACAGAAGTTAGCTCAAGTGCCAGTCTTTAAAAAAAAAAAAAGTAAAAGTCGGGGACCGTCCTGGTGGCGCAGTGGTTAAGTTTACATGTTTCACTTCGGCAGCCTGGGGTTCGCCAGTTCAGATCCCAGGGGCAGACCTACACACCACTTGTCAAGCCATGCTGTGGCAGGCGTCCCACGTATAAAGTAGAGGAAGATGAGCATGGAATGTTAGCTCAGGGCTAATCTTCCTCCCAAAAAAGCCCAAATAAGTAAAAAGAAAAAAATTAAATTAAAAAGAAATTAATTTAAATTGAATTAAAAAAAGAAAAAGAAAAGGTATATTGATGAACATACACAGGGATTTTTAGCGAGGTGGACAGAGTTGGAGAGTAGAATGATCTCTGAAGTAGTTGGGGCTCTGTAAATAGTGAGGGAAGCCAGGTATAATCATCTTGGTATCTGGATGAATAAATGGATTGATATTGTTTTTAATTGACAAGGAAAAGAATAAATTTTACATTGTTCATCCCAATATGGGATCAGTCTCCACATTTTCCAGTATTAATGGGGGAAAGTGGGGTTTAACACATAGAATTTCACTTTTCTCTAAAAAATGTGAGATGATAATTGCTTTTTTCTTGGAAGGAGCTAGAGGCTAACAAGCTTTTGAAGATTCCTTTTGTTTATAAGTATCCTTTAATCTTGGCTGTCTTTGTTGAGCTGTATATAGTCTTGTAGGCTTGACCAGAGATCTCTTCTCAATTTGAAAATCAGAAAATCAAGATAAAAAGGTCATGAGTTTTTCATGGTCTTAGTTAAAATCTTTTTTCTCATTCCCGTGTTCTAAGGGTTTTTTTTGTTTTGATAAATTTTGTTAAAGAAATGAAAGGACCCGAATCTCAGGAATTGCTTACCCGTGAGTTGAGTGCGTTGCTGTGAATAATAAAATGGCACAATTCTTGTAATCACATTTATTCTGAGTGTGTAATTTGGCTCTTTTGTTCTTTCAACCTTCTTATATACACTGACTGTGTGTGAATTATAAATGCAAATTTTATATTACTAATTTTTCCAAGTCTTATTTTCCACAACTACCCAAACTGCCTTTTTTGGTGGTTCATCTATAATTTATTCCTAATGCTACTTTGATGCATTCCTTATTTATTGAACTCTTAATTTTTCTACTCTAGCAGAGAAGATGGGCAGGATGGCAGTTGTTTGTGTAGAACACACAAATTAGCCTGGCATTAAGAAAATAGATAGCAGTGAGGTTGCTTCTTTCCCCCCTCTAATACCTTTACAGTCACACATTGTTAGGTGATTTCGTTGTGCAAACATTGTAGAGTGTGCTTACACACACCTAGATGGTGTAACCTACTACACACCTAGGCTATGTGGTACTAATCTCATGGGACCTCTGTAGTTGGCTAAAATGTCGTTAACATGGTGCATGACTGTACTTTCTAGTTGATATGGTTGATTTCCATCCATCAGTTACATTTTAGCCCTCTAAATTCTGTGTCACTTTAAATCAGAGTTATGGTAAAAAAGTAATTGATCTGTGATTATATTTGTCAGTATAATTTAATTGAAACACCATCCTCTGAGTAACATCATTTGGTTTTAGCATTTCCTGTGGGAGCCTCCCTGTACCTTAAAAAGGTGGACTCTGCATAGCCTCTTACGTATAGCTACTTGCTTAGGCTTTTTATATTAACATTGCTTTATCTCGTTCACCATTTGAAGTTCACTTTTCGCGTTACCTCCTTTGAATAAATAATAATTTATTGAACAATAGTCGAGTAAAAGTTACCTCCACTGCCTGTCTCCCTTGCCTGGCTCTCTGTCTACATTGGTGATATCATAGCCATAATACTTCAGTGACTTGTATAGGCACTGGGCAATTTGAAGCCTCTCTTGAACTTTGTTGGAATAACTCTAGTGTATATTGACTTTTCTTTGTATTGAGAGTATATTTGGTACCTTTTTTTACTTTAGTTATATGTAAGTGACAAAAATGGTAGGTGAATGTGTATTTTGTAAACAAGATGGGAGATTTGGTATAAATAAAATGTGTCACCGTAGAAAATCTGGAAATATGGAGGAGAAATAAGAAAAAACCAGAATCCCGAAACCCAGAAACAATCCTAATAGCATTTATGTCATTAACCCTTTGAACAAAACTATTTTGTACACAATTGTTTTATTCAGAGTGTAAGTTAGTATCTTCCCATGTCTTAGTATTATTTTAACAACAGTTGTTACAGTATTAAAGTGTGTATAATTTCCACATTTTAGTTATTTTATAAAATTTTAGTAGAAAAGTCTGCTGTTCTTCACCCTTCCCCATCTTTCAAGATAATAATACTGTGTTGCTTAAGTTTATTACTTTGAATGTAGCAAATGAGTCCTTTTATGCATTAGAGTGTGTTCGATCCTTGTTGTTGGAAGTTTTTTGATTTAGGGGAAACTAATGGTACCTGAAATGACAGTATCTGATTCTGCTTTGTAAGTTAACTTTTTTTATTGAGTTGGTTTAATTGTAGGTGGCACATAATTCAAGGTAGAACGAAGACTGAAGAGCAGGTTGTCAGGATTCTAGGCTGGGTTTGTTGTGATCTCACAGCTAAGAAGAAATAGCAGAGTGAAAAGAATTGAACACATAAGCCACAATATGAATTTTTTCTTATTTTACAAAATTTATTCTTAAATATACAACAAGCTGCAAGACAACACTTACTTCTAGCTATAAGTGGCAACAGATTAGTTATGGCAGAGAATCCAGATGTTTAAACAGGAATGGAAGTAAGGGTCACCATTGCCTCAGGCACAAGGGACAGCTTACTTTCTGCCATATTTTTTAATTCCATCTGTGGCCAGAGGACCCTTCCCCGTGGCCTTCACTTTTAGCTCCTCCGGCTTCTGCTCCTCTCTGTTTCTGTGTGGAAGCCTCGTCTTCCTCTTCCATCTCCTTGGCCTGCTTGGGTTCTTCACGGGCTGCTTCTTGCCAATGCCCCTTCCCCAGACCCTGCCAGTAGAAGCAGTGATTAACTATTCTTGAAAGCAAGTGAGGCATTATATAAAAATTTAAACATCTTTTGGGGGGACGTTGTAGACTGAGAGTTTCAGGACAGTTGCAAAAGGAAATACAGGAAACCGAATAGAGCATTATGTAAAAGTTGAATTGGAGTCACTAGAATTGTATAAAGCTATAGGCTTATCTGTAGGCTCCAATATGGTTGGTACCTGATTTTTGTTAAAAACAGTATAACAGTTGTAGTGGTTAGGTTGGTCTGTCTTTGCCTATAAAATTTTTTGTTTAAAGGAAACCTACACTGAAATTTGTTACACAGGAATTTAAACTGCTTCCTGATTTGCCCAGTAGATGCACACTTAGATATAAACAAGTAATATTCAAATTTTCTTTTTTTCCCTCCCCTTTCTCCATTTTCTAATGTTATAATTTTGACTGTTCTAAAGGCTGTAAACCTGTAAATCATGTACTGTAAATGGTGAGAGGTTGTGTGTCCATTTTAATTTTGTACTTGTTTTTCTTGGCCTTACCTTTGAGATTTCCGTTCAGAGGTACTTTATCCATAGCACCTCTAACCCATTCTGCTCCCTGTTTGTTTATATTCCATGACAGATTATAAAATCCCTGAGGGCTAGAGTCTTATCTTTTTCAACAGGTTATCCCGTTTAGTATAAACAGTATCTGGAATGTAGTTAGATGTTTCATTAATAGAAAGATTGGAAAGACGTACACCAAGTATAAAAGACTATTATTTCTGAGTACTGAAGTTATTGGTGATTTTTAATGGTAATCATTATCATTTCGAAAATAGTAAAATTAATCCCTAGAAGGAGAGAGAAGGCAAAGACCACCTACCTTTTCCCTGTGATAAGTGTAATCCCCAAGTCCTGATTTGTGCCCTCTGCCTGGTTCTTAAAAATCATTGGAATCCAAGAACAGAGGAGATAATGGTCCTTAAAGGAAAAAGGTACTGTGAATGGAAAGACTTGATTATGGTGTTTGGAGTGGAGTCCGAGGCAGCTCTGGACTCCGGGGAATAAGAAAGAGAACTGTGCTACTTCCCTCCGTATTGAGGGACAGGGAGTTGTCAAGAAATAAGAGATGGTCGGGGTGGGGGGGGGCAGGTGCAAATGTTAGAGATCACCAGTAGTTGTTGGGAATTGATTATTTTGCTGTTGCAAACTACTGTTTAATAAATGGTGTTAATTTTCTTTATTCCCATTTGTATGGCTAAGAAAATTTACTTCATGGAAGATTACAAAAATGACTTTTTAATAGCTATTATTCTTGTGTTTGCTCCCTTAGCATTTGACATTGTGCAGCAAAGAAATGGTTATGGAGAAGCCCAGTCCGCTGCTTGTAGGGCGGGAGTTTGTGAGGCAATATTATACTTTGCTGAATAAAGCTCCGGAATATTTACACAGGTAAATTTTAAGTGGATTATTTAGTATTTTTATTCAGTTTCTTTTCTGTAATATGAGTACATATATTTTGTCTTTCTTATCTCATGTCCTGACAGTATCCCATTATATAACACATGCACGTCTATACACACACGTAATACAGTTATGTACTCTCGTATTCTATATTTCATTAAAAAAGAAAAACCTTGGTTTTATGGGTTTTCAGTCTGCAATTTGAAATCACAGGCTTAAGTCATCTTCCTAAGTTCTCTATAGCAATGTTAGGAAAATGAATCACTTAAGTGATTAGACTTGTGGAATTTCCTCTGATTGATATACAAAATAATAGTCCTTGGTAAAACAGCAACAGTAGCCTTATTTACTATTTTGGCAAGAGTTGGACATCTGTAAGCCTATTTTTTCTAGAGATTGAAAGGAAGTTGATTTATATTGTGAATAGTATTTATAATTTTTGTTATTCCTGGTGTATTTTAGCAAGTGGAAGGTGAGTGAGACTTCTGTAAGGATTAGGCTTTGTAAGTATGTGTTGTTGAACACCCTAGCCAATTGAGTTAAGGATAAATTTATTGCCACTTAATGTGAGAAAGGCTCTTAAGAAGACGTACATTCTTTTATATATAGGTACTCTTTATAAGCATGCTGGGCATTCTAAAGTTATGTTTTGTAATATGCCCTACATTGTTAAACATGTGTGTAATATTCTCTGTGTCACTCTAGGAGGATTTTGTTTGTTTGTTTGTTTTGAGGAAGATTAACCCTGAGCTAACATCTGCTGCCAATCCTCCTCTTTTTGATGAGGAAGACTGGCCCTGAGCTACCATCGGTGCCCATCTTCCTCTGCTTTATATGTGGGACCCCTACCACAGCATGGCTTGACAAGCAGTGGGTAGGTCTGCACCCAGGATCCGAACCAGCGAACCTGGGCCACTGAAGCAGAACGTGCAAACTTAACTGCTGTGCCACCAGGCCAGCCCCAAGGAGGCTTTTTTAAAATATATATAGCTAACACCTCCCAACCATGAAAGCAAAACAAAACAAAATGAATACCTGTACACTTTTCTAATTATAAGAATAAAGACATTCTTGTTGACAGTGTTATGTGAGAGAGTTTGCAGGGGAGAATCTAATTAATAGGGCATTATGTGAAATTTAGTCCCTTTTTTCTTTTTTTTGTAAGGAGGATTGGCCCTGAGCTAACATCTGTGCCAATCTTCTTCTGTTTTATGTGGGACACTGCCACAGTGTGGCTTGATGAGCTGTGTTGTGTTAGGTCCCTGCCTGGGATCCGAACCTGTGAACTCCCAGCCGCTGAAGCAGAGTGTGCAAACTTAACTCCTACACCACCAGGCCGGTCCTGATATTTCATCTTTTCACAATGTGTATGCTAACATTTTTAGCGTTTTTTTTTAACAAGGAAATTTTTTTTGTAATGACCAAAAAAAGTAAAATTAAAACAGTAAGCCTTTCCACCATCATTTCAAATAAGACAGCCAACTTCTATTTTATACTTATGTAACCAATTTCCCTATTAATGAAAATTTAGTTTGTAGTTTTTCACTTGTTAATGCTGTAATGAATATCCTCACACATGCATTTTTGTGTAGCTTTCTAGTTATTTTCTTAGGGTAAGTTCCTAGAAGTAGAATTGTTAATTCAAAGGTACAATCATTAGTGGTTTTTCTTACACATACTTACAGCCAGATTGTCCTCCAGAAAAATGATAGCACTTTACATGCTTACCAGTAGCACATGAGAGAAAGTAGTAAAGTAGTGTAAACTTAAAAATATGAGTAGTGGTTAAAAGCATGGACTCTGGGGGCTGGCCCGGTGGTGTAGTGGTTGAGTTCATGCACTCCACTTTGGCACCCTGGCGTTTTCTGGTTTCCCATCCAGGCATGGACCTAGCACCACTCGTCAAGCCACACTGTGGCAGCATCCTACATAAAATAGAGGAAGATTGGTATAGATGTTAGCTTAGGGCCAGTTGTCCTCACACACATACACAAAACGCATGGAGTTTGGAGCCAAACTGTCTGGGTTCATGTCTTAGCTGCCCCACTTGATGGGTAGGGTAACCTTAAGGGAGTTAGTTTACCCTCCTCTGAACCTCAGTTTCCTCATTCAGATAACAGTGCTTTATGTTATGAGGTTGTTGAGAGGGTTGAACGAATCCATATATATAATGCAGTGAGAACATTGCTTGGCATAGAGGATAGAGGAAGTCACACATGTTTTATTACGATAGAGCTGAGTTCTCTTTATGAAGAAACTAATTTTGCATGTTTGATAACCTTAACTTGGAAAGATTAATTCTAATTGCTTTAGGTAATGCCAGAGAAACAGTAATTTATCATGTATTTAAGAGCAGTGTAAAAATTAATAGGAAATTAGATGCTGAAATACTGTAGATTTTTTTTACTTGTCTCTGAATTGTTTCAATTATTTAAAATCTAACTAAACTGTTTTAATCTGTGCCTTTGGAATTAGTAATCGTTTGGAACTCTGAATAGAATGTTAAACAGCATCTTGAGTCTCAAACAAATCTAGATAACTGCGTTTCTGTATCTGAAGGGGAAAAAATGGGTCAATTACTATGGCATCAGTATTTAGAATGTATTTTGAACAACATCTTATTCTTCCACTTAAAAATATAGATGTGATAAGAATTAGATGAGAATAGCTAATGATTTGAGTGTACATTTAGTGTCCTAGGCACACTAAGGATTGTGTGTCATTACTCATTTAACCCTTACAACAGCCCTGTGGAGTAGTTACTGTTCTGTTTTATAACCAAGGAAATTGAATTTAAAGACCGTAAGTAACTTGGTTAAGATTATGCAACTAACGAGTGACAGAGCTGGACCTGGAAACTGGGTCCATTTGACATCAGAATTCTGCTGCCTCTTAGATTTCTCTTGACAGTTGAATGTTAATCATTATCAATGGTTTTTACAGGTTTTATGGCAGGAATTCTTCCTACGTTCATGGTGGAGTAGATGCTAGTGGAAAGCCCCAGGAGGCTGTTTATGGCCAAAATGTAAGTATCAATTTCATACACATTTTAGTTTTTTTTTCCTTTTTGCATTAAGATAGAGATTTGAAAAAAGCTTTGTTGTGTCCATGGATTTCTTCTTGAATGTGATTATTAGTTGTAACTAGAATTTATGTCATAATAATTGTCAAATCTGCTTTGAGTTCTTATAAACGTCCATTTTGTATGAAACACAGTATTATGGGGATGGATACAAAGAAGGTGGGATGTTTTATATCCGTGATGTATTTTATACATGAACCAGTTGAGACTTGGTATTAAGTTTATACAAATGTGGGCTAAACCTTATGTTACAGGAATGCACAGAAGTATATGCTTGTTAGGAGTTTGTAGAGGACGTGGAACCTCAGCTCTATTCTAAATTACAGGATTTGGCCTTACCAAACAAGAGGAAATTGAAAGTAGAAGAAATGGCATCAGCAAACACACAGTAAAGTAAAACTAGGTGTGAGGTCAAGTAGTTGTCAACACAGTTGTGTGAGTGACTAAATACTTAGTACAGAATAGTGGGAGAAAGCTCTACAAAGCGATATTACTGCATGGGTATGAGAAGGCCATTGTGATTTCTTGTATAGAGAGGTGACATGTTGAAAATAGTGGTTTAGGAATATCTGTCTGACAATAATGCATAGCATGGTGGAGTGGACTCAAATAGGGCAGAAAGATTAAGTAGTTAATATTCTAGAGTTGTGAGGAAATCTGTGAAGGTCTGTGGTATTGTATAGGTAATTACATTATCACAAGAGTTTGTTTTCCCCCGCTTCTTTTCCTGATAAAGGATATACACCACAAAGTATTATCTCTGAACTTCAGTGAATGTCATACTAAAATTCGTCATGTGGATGCTCATGCAACCTTGAGTGATGGAGTAGTTGTCCAGGTCATGGGTTTGCTTTCTAACAGCGGACAGCCAGAGAGGAAGTTTATGCAAACCTTTGTTTTGGCTCCTGAAGTAAGTTTTCATTTCAAGTAATTTTCATTCACATAATTTTATTTGGCTGTTAATTAGTTGCTTGAAGTGTCCAAAGAGTTTCTTGTTACAGGTTTAGATATGCATATAGCTATTTTTGAGAAATTTGTGTTGGACCTATTGATATAATTTATTTGAGCTTTGTCTGTGTGTGCACTTTGGCTATTTAAAAGTAAAAGTCAGATACTGGTACAAATGTGTAAATAGATGATTAAGATTAGAGAAATAATAGAAAGAGCATATTGTATTTCATAGGTTCCATACTAAACAAAATGGAAAACTTCCTTTTGTTACTTGGTCTTTGTTCTCTTATATCGAGTAGCCATTTCTTGAGTTCCATTGTTTTTTTTTTTTTGAGGTAGATCAGCCCTGAGCTAACATCTGCTGCCAATTCTCCTCTTTTTGCTGAGGAAGACTGGCCCTGAGCTAACATCCATGCCCATCTTCCTCTGCTTTATATGTGGGATGCCTGCCACAGCACGGCTTGATGAGCAGTGCCACATCCATACCCGGGATCCAAACTGGTGGACCCCGGGCCACTGAAGCGGAACGTGCACACTTAACTGCTGTGCCACTGGGCCGGCCCCTTGCCTTCCAGTATTCTTTGAGTGATCTCTTAATTTACTTTATATTTACGTAGTATATTTAACTTTGGAGAATTATGTTGTCTTATGTCTGTAATATTAAAATAGAAATTGTGTATGCTATATAGTTTGCTCTTTTATGTAATGCCACATTTATGGGAATTTATGGAATATTTGAATGTTGTTTTTCTGTAGGGATCTGTTCCAAATAAGTTTTATGTTCACAATGATATGTTTCGTTACGAAGATGAAGTATTTGGTGATTCTGAACCAGAACTTGATGAAGGTGAGGTTAACTTTCAAGATAGAACGGTTCCATCGGTACTCTTAAGGACATGAAAAGTATGAAACTTACAGAAATTTGCCTCTGTTTTAACTGTCAAACCCCCTTTTCTACTTTTTGTTCCTTTGTTTTTTGTTATAAAAGAAAGAGATGTTTATTATGTGAAGATATGTAAAAATCAGATGTAGAAAGTGAAAAAATTTCTCTCAACCTCCTCCTCTATAGATAACCAAGAGTTTGGTGCCTTTTATAATTTTGTGGAATCTTATACTTGCCAATACTAATTTTTATAAAAATAGAGTTATGCTGGCTCGAAGCTTGCCTTTTTTCACTTAATATATCTTTCTTGGCTGTCAGTTTTTGGCTATACCATAATTATTTCATTGATCTTCCATTGCTGGCAGTTTTTTTCCTTTATCACTATTCTGTTGAATAGATGTGACAAAGAAACTGAGTTAGGGGTTTACTATCATTTATTTTCTATTCTTTTCTTACTAATAGACCTTTTTTAAAATAGAGTAAGTACCAAACTTTATCTTGCTCTTCAGTTTTTTAAGAGAACAGGGAAATATTGCAGTTGAATGCCTTTGAAGAAATAGACCAATTTGTTTTTACTACCATATCACTTCCTTAAATATTAAAAATATGTCTATCGAATTATTTGTTAAGCCTCTTAAAAAGAGTTGTGGTGTGTTATGTATTGTCAGAATCAGAAGATGAAGTAGAAGAGGAACAAGAAGAAAGGCAGCCATCTCCAGAACCTGTGCAAGAAAATGCTAACAGTGGCTACTACGAAGCTCACCCTGTGACGTAAGAATAAGATGGGCAAGGCCAGCTTTGGTCTAAACTATAATGTACCTGTAAAGTGGTTCTTGTTCCTAGAATTATTACTGGAAGTAAATTTTTGATAAAGCTACCTATCAGGCCAGTGTTTGAGTACTTACTGTGTATATCCAAGAAATTTGGAAAGAATTGTTTTATTCAAAAATTGGACATGGTTTGGCCCAAGACAGTAATCACTTAGTGAATAATGCAAAGTGTTTGGGACAACATAGAGAGTGAATATTTTATTTTTATAAATATGAAGCTTGTTTATAGTTAGTAATAAAGTAAACATTTTTAGTGTTCCAGTTTTAAAATTGTGGGCTTAAGGAAATGCTGCTTCGTGAGAGTATTATTCCCTTCTGCCTTCTAGTTCTTATTGGACTTGGCTTCAAAATAGCTTGTTACTAGTTATGCCTGTTGGATTAGAGAAGTACTGAATTTTATTTGAACTGATCATTTCGCTCATACTGAAAAATGAACAAAATACTTTATTGTAGTAATGGCATAGAGGAGCCTTTAGAAGAATCCTCTCATGAACCTGAACCTGAGCCAGAATCTGAAACAAAGACTGAAGAGTTGAAACCACAAGTGGAGGAGAAGAACTTAGAAGAATTAGAGGAAAAGTCTACTTCTCCTCCTCCAGCTGAACCTGTTTCTCTGCCACAAGAACCACCAAAGGTTAGATCAGAGGAACTCTTTAGACCTGTAACACCACACTTTAATATTTGGTGCCATTAATGAAGCATGATCTTTGTTCTGTTATATTCAATTGTTTAATATAGTAAACTATGCTTTTTTTATGTATATGGAAGAAGCTGTGGGGTTTTTTGTAATCCTGAGGAATTTCATTGTATTCCCTCCCCCACACACACACAAAGAAAATACCCCTAAGAGTGAAATTTAAGGTAAATCCTTGTCTGTATGCGGTGTTTAGTATCTTATGTGAAATTATTCGAGTCCATGTATAAAACTGAGTTGCTCTTTCATTTTGTATTGAGTCCTCTGCACACAGATGCAACAGGAGTCATGCAATTTCCCAACTTAAGCAAGTTGGCCTTGTATTAAAAGAACAGATACCTGTTATTTCTGGTTTAAATGGAAACAGTTTCCTTGCTACACCAATTAAACTATCTTGGAAAGATGAGTGACACCCATAGTGTATCATTTAAGCCTACCTAAAACATCTTTTATCTTTCTGTAAAGTAGAAGGTTAAAGTGTATTTGAGTAGTGAGAGGAGGAGATTTCCTTGTTCAATTTGTGAATGTCTGTTAAAGTTTCCAGCTAGTTCTCTCTTCTTTCCTATCCTTCCCCTCTCCCCTTAACACCATCACACACCCAGTTTCCCCCAAAGGGGGAAAGAAATTGGTTCTATTAGGCTCTTAGTTTTCTAGCATGTGTAGTTGTTAGTGGTTTTGTTTGCCACTTGCTCATCTACTTAGAGCATAAAGCTCGTGGATTTATTTAGTAGTTCAGATGAAAGAGTCAAACAATCTTGCCTAATGAGATTTTGAAAGTTGGCACACAGACTGGCATGTGTGTGTGTGCCTTTCTTTTAGGAGTCCTCTAATGTAGAGCAATAGTTTAGAAATGAAAAGAATATATATATTTGGAAGTTTCCCTATAGGAATGTTGGTGGTTTTCCGTGATTAGTAGTCTAGGTTTGTTGCATTTCCTGCAGGCTTTCTCCTGGGCTTCAGTGACCAGTAAAAACCTGCCTCCTAGTGGTACTGTTTCTTCCTCTGGAATTCCACCCCATGTTAAAGCACCAGTCTCACAGGTAACCAATCTGTGAACACATTGGATTGTATCCTTGTTACATTGCCAATTGCTTTATCTTTAAACTTTTTTAAATGAGTCAATCAGAAATTATGGATTTAAATATACCAAGAAAATGGTATTAAATGTCACTACACACATTTTAAGTGCCAAATCTCCATTCATCATCTACATAGGTGGTATTTGGGGTTTGGGTGTGTGGAATACAGATTAAGTTGGTTTCACCAATATATAACTGTCATTTAAAAGGCTTCTTAAAATAACAAAAAAAAATGTTCTTTTTTGAAAAGTTAGAAATTTTATTTAGCAAAAACACCTTAGGGAACTAATTTGGAAAGGCACAAAGTAGTGTGGCGTTATAAAGAATCATTGATTTAAAAAAATACAAAGCTTTAAAACATACACTGCCTTAGCTCTCAGTCTATAAGTGGTTCACACTGTTTAATTGAAGCCTGTACCAACTTATGACTGTAGTGTTCGCCTTAACTGGTCATTCTAGTATTCTGCTTTTTGTCTGTTTGTCATCTTACCCATTTCAGAGCTTTCAAAAACATTGAAAATAGGACACTGGCTACCTAATATGTTTATTAGATATAATTGAGAATTAACTAAACTCTAAATTTATAGGCATAGTTAAAGGGTGTCTAATTTTTTCCCCTGTATTTTGCATCAAACTTCATTAGAAAATTTATGTTTAAAATTTTTAGTGCACATAAAATTATCTGTATACACCTCTTATATGCTCTAAACAGTGAAACTTTTAGGTTTTAAACATGGGTAGTAATTATGATAGTTTTTCTGGTGTTGGTACACATTATCAGCTACATAATAGTAAGATACGTGGCCTCATGATACCTGTTTTTTTCAGTTAGATATTGAGGAAATGTTGAATGATTACCTCACATTACAAACCAGAATTCTGTCTTAATGAAGCGAATTAATTTGCTAAATATTGATTAATTCAGCCCGTCTGAAGACCTCATAAGTGACTTCTGGATTTTCTTTTGAAATGCTTGATTTCTTATTACATTTACATTTGGAATCCTTTGGACTGTTAGTTCATTTCACAGAGTTGTCTACATTTATTTTAAACTGACTGCTAGTTAAAATATTAGGGCTGGCCCACTGGCGCAGTGGTTAAGTGCACATGTTCCGCTTTGGCAGCCCGGGGTTCGCAGGTTCAGATCCCAGGTGCGGACATGGCACTGCTTGGCAAGCCATGCTGTGGCAGGCATCCCACATATATATAAAGTAGAGGAAGATGGACATGGATGTTAGCTCAGGGCTAATCTTCCTCAAAAAAAATAAATAAGTTAAAAAGTTAAAATAGCTAATGCTTATTATGACTTCAGTATGTGCCAGGCATTGTGTAAAGCACTTGATATTCATTCTCATATAATCCTCACAACCACTGTGTGAGGGTGGTTACTATCATTATTCCCATTTCACAGATAGGTTCATGGAGGCCTAGAGTACCTCACCTAAGGTCGGACAGCTATTTAAGTAGTAGGGCAGACAGCTATGTAAGTAGTAGGGCTGGACTTGGAATTTGTGCAATTAGACACCAGAATCCATATGTGACTCATGCAAACCCGTAGGTTTCTTTAGCCCTCTGGAGGGGAATGTGTCTCTGTTTACATTAAAGAAGAATACTACTATGTTTAAGGCATTTCTAAATTACGTTACATTAAATCCTAATCTCTTGCTCAGGAAAAAACAAACTTTTAAAAAAAATTTTTGAAGTTATGGTTTTCAGTTGTAGGAGACTAGATTGTCTTTCCCAGCCCACACCCTTATTAAAACAAAATTTTCAAATGTTTATAATGTAAACTTTAAAAGAACTTTCTCGTCTCTTTAGGCTGTATTTAGAATGGATTCATCATTTCCCCACTTGATTTAATAAACATTTCAATTTCATTTCGTTGACTTTGGTGTAGTATCCATTTTCTTAACACTTCTAGCATAGATTATTAATAGGAGAAATAAGTCTAATTTCTAGAGTATTAGTAGGCATTAGTTTAGAAGTAAGTAAGTTAATTTCTTGGTGAAAAGATTGTGTCTGGAAATTGATTAGTTTATCCAGTAGCTTATGTTCAGTTGAAGGACTTTATTAATTGTGGTTTTATCTGCCATGTTGACTTGATTTGATGGTTTTATTTTTATTTCATATTCTGTTTGATCTTCGTTTCTGGGATTTGTCACGTTGAGCATACTTTCTGTTGCATAGAATTAATTTGAAGGCCTCAATGTGGTATATTAGCCATTTTGTCTCATTGGAGTAAATAGTTTCAATCATGAAATTGCACCTGAAGAATTATGAGTGCACAGCTGGCTTAGTTGACGTATATTAATCAGTTACTGAAAGGAATATTATATTTTTGGTCATTTTTATTACATTGGTATCATCTACTAAAAGGTTACTAAATCAGTGTATGAATTATTTGTAAGATGTTGTAAATTATTTAATTTTTTTTTCGTTTTAAGTCCTTTAAGGATAGTGAAGAACTTTTCTATTTTGCCACTTGTAGTTATTTTTGTGTCTGTAATCTGTTTTGAAAAGAATTTGAATCAGTCCGCCATGGCATCTCAAGTTCTTTGATAACGTTTGGATTGAATGAGGCTTTTCTAAGATTTTTAAATTAAAAGGTACAATGGCTGTTTATGTTAATTTCCTATATACACTAGCTTCATCAAACTTTGTTAAAGTACATCTATTCTTTAATTCTGTTTTGTAATACTAGTGAAGTAAGTTGTGTTTTTAGGCCCCCTTAGTTGAAATTTCTACATACCTGCCTTTTTCAGGCATCACATTTTGGGTCAAATTATCATGTAGTGTTAAAACTCCAAATACAGATAGCATTGGTGTCAGGGCTGTAACTTAGGTCCTTTTGTCAGGCGTAGAACATTCTTCTACGTGTTTTTGGTTAGAGAACTAGAAATGTGATTTAATTTTAAATGAAGCAATAATTACTGAACATCTCTGTTGACACTGTGCCTGGTTCTTTGGGTGGTATAGAAATGAATTAAGATATAGTCCTTATAGGAATAAATAACATATAAATGGAAAAACTGAAGAGGCTTAAAATTTTTATATTCTTTAACTAGCAAAATTCTAGAACATAGGAAGCAACTTCATCTTGAGGAAAATGGGAACTCCACATGGAAGAAGACAGTTTGGGAAGAGACAGGCATATCTGTTAAAAACTGCTAGCATAGGAATTAATGTACCTTTTAGTTACAGTGGGTAAAATCATTTATAATGAATTGTCATTTTTGAAAGGATTGTAACTCTTTGTATCAAAATTTGTCTTTGCAAATTATAATATCTCAATTATCTAAATGATGAAAGAGTTTGAGCTACTGCCTGGACTGAGGTCCTCAGAGATGATCAGCCATTAAGACAAGACTGACATTACTAGCTTTCTGATTTGAGGACATGTTCTTCATATCCTGCTGAGTGTTTCAGCATCCTTTGAAGGTGCATGTATTTTGTTTCTTCCTTGGACCATAAATATTTGGGCAATGGACAGCCTGAAGAGGTTGGGAATACTGAAAATGCCATTGTATTAAGGAAAAGGTAATGGCTGGTGCAGATTGTTTTGTTTTAAAAATAGTTACTGTAATTTTATGTGTTTAATTCAGCAGTTAGCATAAACTTTTGGAAGACATCTTAATATGTCCTGTTACTCCCCCCACTATCCTGCAAGAAGCAGTTAAGGAGAATTATTGGGGTCAGTTCTTAAATAAATGCACATCTTTCCCTTAAAGAAGAACAATAGGGAGCTCAAGGACTTCTGACTATTTGAGATGATATATACTCATTCCTATCATGGTTTTTTATGTGCATTTTAACTTAAAGGTATTTTTAGGTGGTAGAGTAAGCTAAATTGTATGTCTTGCACTATCAAAATAATGATTTTTAAGATGTATTTATGGGGTAGAGTTTAGAAGATATTGCTGAGCAATATTACTTTTGAAGGGCAGCAAGCTAGATAGAAAGTATGTGTCATACAGTCTTGTCTTTATAAGATAAAGGTGGCTTTTTATTTTGTATATGTATTTACATGGAGTGGCTCATCTTGCATTTTTCCAGCAGTACCTTTTAGGCCATCTCAATGTGGATGTAATTTTATTGAAAAAATGTGCTTGTATAAAGCAGCTTTTTGTGAGTTATATAGCCTTGAGTGGGAAAACAAAACTTACCCTACAGTCCTAGATTGGTACAGAATATCTTTATAAAAATTTATTTTTCACATACATAGGATATTATGTTAAAAACATTATAAACTTAAAAGTAGGACCATGCCTGCTAGTAGCTTGTTGGTAGTTGCTTTAGTTGGTTTTTCTCCTGTGGAATGTGTTTCTTTATAAGGTGTCTTTTCGCTTGTATTTTAGCCGAGAGTTGAAGCTAAACCAGAAGTTCAGTCTCAGCCACCTCGTGTTCGTGAACAACGACCTAGAGAACGACCTGGTTTCCCTCCCAGAGGACCAAGACCAGGTGAGTGAGTCCCCTCTGTAACCTTTAACGCTTGAAGAGTTAGAAAAGACTGAATTATTTAAAAGAAAAACCAAACTATAATGTGTTTTATACACAGACTGTTTTAGTACCAAATTTCTTAAAAGTTTAACCTGCTAAAATATAGTCTGGGGCAAAACAACTAACTTTTAGGGGATATTAGTTGACATGCCATAGAGACAAGTATTTTGAAGGTGTAGGAGAATTTTGAGACAAATTTTATTTGGTTATTGTCACTGATTCTAAGAATTCTAAACCCAGCTGCCAATAACCTACTCTCTTACTTAGCCCTCTTATCTCTTCACAGATAAACAATAAGCACACCCTGATTCTTTTTATTTTGATTGTGTTAGGTGTTAAGTAAGTTGCCATGATTTTTGAGTTGTTTACATTGTTAGCTAATATGTTGTAGCATTTGTTTGAATTCTGGAAGTATATTCAGATTGCTTTTGGGAGGAGGTAGGAGATAGTATACATCAAATTTAGAAAATGTAATTTTTCCCACAAAAGTGAAATAAGTGATATGTTACTAAACCAGAAGTCATGGGTACTGGGGTTCATCCTAGCTCTGCCAATAACTGAGTTTATGATCTTGAATGAGACCCTTAAATTATGAGCTTCTCTTAACGCTGTTCAGTTACTACACATATTTTCTTTTTCTTTTCTTTCTTTCCTTTTTTTTTGAGGAAGACTGGCCCTGAGCTAACATCTGTGCCCATCTTCCTCTGCTTTATATGTGGGGTGCCTACCACAGCATGGCTTGCCAGGTGGTGCCATGTCTGCACCCAGGATCCAAACCGGCAAACCCTGGGCTGCCGAAGTGGAATGTGTGAACTTAACCACTGTGCCACCAGGCTGGCCCCTACACAGATTTTTCTTGTGTGACACCTTACTTATATGCCTTGCTGTCTTATTTACATTATTGGGAGGATCAAATAATATTTTATATCGATGTATGTGAGCACCCTATTATGTAGAAAGGCTATACAAGTGAGATATTATTACTATTAAATTTACTTAGGCCTTTTATTTCGTACAACCAAAGATTTAATAATTTGTGAATTTCAAAATACTAAACAGGGGCTTACCCCATGGCCAAGTGGTTAAGTTGGCACGCTCTGCTTCAGCAGCCCAGGGTTTGCCAGTTTAGATCCTGGATGCAGACCTACACACCGCTCGTCAAGCCATGCTGTGGCGGCATCCCACATAGAAGAACGGGAATGACCTGCAACTGTGTACTGGGGCTTTGGGGAGGGGGAGAAAGAAGAAGGTTGGCAACAGATGTTAGCACTGGGTCAGTCTTCCCAAAAAAGTACTAAACAAATATTTAGTACAAAAATAGCACTCTATCTGAGATGCGTTTGGTTCCTGGGTAGACGGCGAGAGTTTGGTTTAAGGAGGAATTCTTGTACCACTAATATTTGACTTTCATATAATCAGACCAGTAGATCTGGAAGAAGGGACCTAGCAGTCTAGTCAGTACCCTCTTTCTACACTTTGGGATCATATTGTTTTCTAACTAATGAACTAATATTAGGCACTTCTACCTCTGTTCAAGGAGCTTGCTATCTTATTAAACTAAAACAGGAGTATCAGTATTAAGTGATTTTTACCTTTATTGCTTTAAACTAGTTTTTATATGATGATGTCAACTTTAATAGCTGCTTTATTCCTTTCTTAGGCAGAGGAGATATTGAACAGAATGAATCTGACAACCGTAGAATAATTCGCTATCCAGACAGTCATCAACTTTTTGTCGGTAACTTGCCACATGATATTGATGAAAATGAACTGAAAGAGTTCTTCATGAGTACGTGATTTATTTTGCTTTGTTGTAAAATTAAGCAGGAGGAGAATAGAGCTTTTTTTCATAGAGTAACTAGAATTTTTTTTAACGTTTCTCTCTATATACTGTGTATGTCTTCAGGTACCAGTCACCTTAATTGACCAGAAGGGAGTAGAAGGCTATATCAGATGTTTCCTAGGGACTGTGCTTAGTGTTGACTGGCCTGGTTTTGTAGAGGTTAGAAGAAAGCTGGATGAATAGGTCTTAAATTTGGAGATGGGATTCATTTGGCAAATACAAGTCAGAAATAGAAAATATCCTGTCTTTCTAAAACTATGCCCTGACTTTCCTCTGAAACGACAGATAAAGCTGCAGAAGGGTAACAAAACAAGCAGATAGGCTAGTTGTTAGCATCTTAGATGAACAACCTATATGAGTGAATGTATCTTCGTTGTCACTGGATGTAGCAGCTTGCAACTTTTATTTTGAAATGGATCAAGGAAATTAAGGTTATTTATCCTGAACAATTAAAGCCACAAAGTATTCTGTTAAAATATTTAACCTTGGTGTAATGTATGTTTTCACAGGTTTTGGAAACGTTGTGGAACTTCGCATCAATACCAAGGGTGTTGGGGGAAAGCTTCCAAATTTTGGTTTTGTGGTTTTTGATGACTCTGAACCAGTTCAGAGAATCTTAATTGCAAAAGTAAGTGATTCAAAGAACATAATTCAAGACTTTATTATTCTTGTTGCATATAATAGTAATTTGGTGCATTTTAAAACCGTAGAAAACCTTTTTTAAATGGTAAAGATAAAAATAGTTCACTATGAAATGGTATTTATGCAAAGAATAAAGATTTGTTAGTAGTATTAAAGTCTGAGATGCGGATCATTTTAAATTTATTTATTCTGGTAAAGAAGGTTGGAGTAGATTGCATATTAAGAATTGCATGAAAGTTTTTTCTGTTTCTTAGGATTTTCATACTTCTTAATGTATGCAAGGTAATATATTATTATTGCTGTCTAATCTGCCGGTGTAAATCTCTCTCTCCACTTTTAAAGCCAATTATGTTTCGAGGGGAAGTACGTTTAAATGTGGAAGAGAAAAAAACAAGAGCTGCAAGAGAGCGAGAAACCAGAGGTGGTGGTGATGATCGCAGGGATATTAGGCGCAATGATCGAGGTCCTGGAGGTCCACGTGGAATAGTGGGTGGTGGAATGATGCGTGACCGGGATGGAAGAGGACCTCCTCCAAGAGGTGGCATGGCACAGAAACTTGGCTCTGGAAGAGGAACCGGGCAAATGGAAGGCCGCTTCACAGGACAGCGTCGCTGAAGCTCCACTGTTGGCAAAGTCTCGGCAGTGGTACATTATTCATCGTGTTTGCATTCTTGTTAATTTTTTTTGGCTTTGGAATGTGACACAGCCTTTTTGATCATTTCTTTGATGTGAAAAGCATCTTTTGGTTACCAGTTAAATTGAGGTGGACATTATTTCCCCATTTTCACAACAGGATTCACATTGTTAATTTATAAATCTAGACTTGGAGAATTGAGGACTGAGAAATGACCATATCTTAAACTGTCTACAGCAAAATGAACTTAAAAGGACATGCCCAACTGAATTCAGGTCCTATGAGTCAAAAAATCCTCTGCTGCACATTTTGTTTAAGTGTTACTGTTTCTGCCTGTTAATGTTGGAAACACAAATAGTGCAATTTGTGCAATTGGAGAATCTTGCCTTTTTTCTTGGCTCCCCCCAAAAATCCAAACCAACAGAAACTTGTTACGCACTCATCAAAATGCACTAATGGGTACTCTGAACTCATTAATATTGACATCTGCAACAAGAGGCAACAGGGGAAAAAAATCTTTCATCTTTTTTTCCGGTAGAGAATAGTTTGTGAAATGATGAGGGCATTTTATCTGCTTGCTGTGACCAGCGTGTATACACATAAACCTTAACAAGACTACAAGTATATTCCAGAAGGAAATCATTTAGTTATGAACTAAATAACAAAAATCAGAACTTCAGATGCTATGGTCTTGAATATTAGACCAGATTTAGTAGCTCCATATCTAAGGTTTTTCTACCTGCCCCTCTACAGTACAGGGATGGCTGGCTGCTCAACACACTCCTCCTCCCCTTTTTCCTTTCTTTAAGCTGTGTACAGTGAAAATTGTCTTTACTGTATTTTTGTTCTCTGGTAATGTAATAAGCATGATGGTGCCTTCTATTAATACATCATTCCAGTCTTGCTGGTAATTTTGTACAGTATAGTGTATGAATTGCTGTGCTGCAAAGCCAAACAGCTGCAAAATGTTGAAAAATCATTGAAGTGCATAAAAATTGCAGTATCTTTAAAATCGGTAAAATTGACTAGCATATTATTTATCTTGTTCTTCAGTTAACAACTTTGTGTTCCTTGTGGGACGGAGTCTTGTGTGTTTGGGAGGGAGAGAGAAAGAGGAAGTCAGTTTTTTGAGTAAATCTCTTGTTGACTTTTCTCTTAGCATGAATGTGAACGTTGAAGTGTTATCACTTCAGAGGTGCTTGGAAAAGTCAGTCAACTTGGTGTACGTTTTTAGTAACATTGTAAAAGCAGTCAGAGTCTGTAAAGGCAAGTAAACCTGGAAGTGAGGATACTGCAATTTTCAGAGAAAAGAACAGCAGCTCTTAAGTGTTTGCATTTTCTATTTGGGGGGCAGGGAACTGTCATTCGTTTTGCACAATTCTTGAACTGATGTCAGCACCCGAGTGGCTCTGAATTTAAGTCTGGGACGACATCTTTTATTTTTACATGAATCTCTTAAACAATTCTGTGAGCAAAGTTTGTAGCTGCTGGATTGTCTGTCTTTATAGCAAGTTCCAGTAAACCGCAAGTATGACAAAGGATATCCAATTTTATTCCTGGAGCATTCAGTACATGCCAGTTTCTGATGTTTCAGGCTAGGAGTGGGGTAAATAAGTGTGACCACTTAAAGCTGCTTGTTAGCATGGAAGACTTCTCCATTCTATCGTAGTAAAAACAAACAAAAAATGCACTTGACATAGTAGCAGACTGCTTCTGAATTGTGGAACTGTTTGCTATTTAGTAAACTAGCAAATGATGCACATATTCTGTTTTTCATGTACTGGGCAATATAAGTAAAATTAAATCTGTCCTTTTTTGGTTCTTGAATGAGGTCTTCCATGTTTGAGGAAAAGTCTTGCACTATTGCATATATTTTGGGGACACAGATTTCTCAGTTTCCATTTTGGGGGGCTTAAGAATTTTTTTTTTCCTGTTTGAAACACTTTTACACTTTCTGATGTATAGTACTTGAAGTTCTTACCAGAAAATTACTTTGCAGTTTTGAAGCCTTTATTCAAACTACTTTCAAATAAGTGATTTATTATTGTCAGTGTTTTGTTTTTTATAGCATATTTTCCCTCCTTTATTTCTTTCTCCTTCCCATTTTATATATAGAGAGAATTTCCAGTCCAACATATTGCCCTGCCGCCCATGAAAACTGTTCTGGCACCAAAAGCAATGACAAATGTTAAGTGTAATAGAAAATTAGAGCAGAAGAGCCATTCAGCTTCAGTCTTTACATACCATGAATAAGACATTAAAAAACATCACATGGAGAAGTTTACATGGTGATTGTTCACCTGCAGTACTGTGGACTTTTAACATTTTGTCCCCTTTTCAGTGAACCAGAGTAAAAATATTCATCTACCGTTACTGTTATTTGCTGATTTTTTTTTTTTTTTTTTGATGGTAATGTTCTATCCTAATGACACTATTGCAACCAAATTGGCTTTACCATCTTGGCTTTAGTAGGTATAGAAGACAATGGATTACCATCTTTATTGCTGTAATGTGTTAAGCATTATATGCTAGTAGAATCTAGTTTAATTGTTTCAGGTGGAAAGTATTCTTTGAGTTTCCATTTTGAATGTGTTTGGACTAAACAAACAATAAACTACTGATGTCTGCAGCATTTTATATCTATGTCCCTAATTTAATCTATAAGTTTGTGTTCCAAAATATTTTCTCCCAATTGCATTTCATACAACCTAAGTAAAAATAAGGAATTGTTCTATAACCATCTGCTTGTCATTAATGTATGAAAAAGTAAAACATTTAATTAAGACTTGAACATTGTTTCAGATCCATTCCAGTTCAGTTAGATAGCTGGTATACAAGTTAAAGAATGTTAGAACAGGGTAATAAATAGTAAGGAAGGTGAGAATGATCTAAAGCAGGCTAGTAAACATTTATTTTTTTAAAAGTTGAGTTTTCCAAAGGATTGCTACCTCATCTCAGAAGGAAAGGAGAAAGGGGATAGGAAGATTGAGGTTGTCTGAAGTTATGGACATGACCCATTCAGAAATTGGAACATATTTATCAAGCTCTAAAAGAATATTAAAGGAGAAATAATCATGTAGTCATATTTATGAATATATAATGAAGTGCTAAGGCATATATAATTTCAGAACTTGAGACTTCCTTCATTAAAGGGGATGGTATAAATCACTTTTTCCTGATATATTCGTAATACTGTTTATGGAGATTCCTTAAATCAGTCTTTACAAATTTGTGCATAACTCTGGCTGTGAAAAAACATTTTTTAGAGGGATAAAATGTATATGCCACACTGTATTGAACACAAATAAATTTGAAGGAGCCAATTATTTGGTCTAGGAAATTTTTATGGACCAAAATATTTGAAAATTTTAGCCACACAAGATTCTTCATGTCCATTATGGTATGTAATATAGTCTTTGTAGCAAGTGAATGAAAATTTAGCGGGTAGATGTTCATATTTTCCCTTTAAATTAGGACAACTTGTTCATTATAGTTTATATTTTAACTACAGATGACTGAAGACCCTTGATTTTTTTTTCGTTCTGTGTTCCTGACTTTTCTGATTATTTAGTAATAGACTGTTTTAATCAATTTGATGCCACAGTTCTAAATTATTTAAAATTACTGGACAAATAATCTATTACATTGTCAAAGAAGTTTCCCTTTGTGATAGATCTCAGTAGGTTCATATAAAGAATAATTGTTTAAAATCACTTATCATTAAGTCAGGTAATTCCTAAGTAATCAAGTTTCTGGGTGATTTTGACAAATAGAGACTGCAATCTTCAAATCTGTTTATGTAGATATATATACACATTATGTTTAACGTGCTTCAGAATTAACAGGGAACAAAGTCTGTTTATAGCATTACCAAATAAATACCGGGCAAAATACTATAAATGCTGAATTAAAGATTTACAGAAATATTACTATTCTATTAGTTTCCAAATTAAGTGATCATTTTGTCTCTGATTTCTCAGTTTTGATAAAGCTGGTTGCTGACTTGGAATGCTTTCACTTATGTGGCATTAATAGTATTCTTATAACTGCTTCTCTTTTCTGTACGTGCTCTGATCCCCTCATAACCTCTCCCGTACTTTTGTCTTCAGTCTCTTCTTTCCCCACAAACTTTCTCTGGGTGGTTCCAATGAGGCCAGGCACTACCTTAGCTTCAATATACTGTCCATTCAGTAGATTTCATGCAATGTAATGGTCAAGAGGAGGGCTTTGGAAACTGCCTGGGCTTGAATGGAACTCCAACCGTCAGTGGTTACCCTTTTTCTGTGCTGCTGTTTCCTCATTTGCAAAATGAGGTGCGTGATTATGACAAGAAGTTAATATATAAAGCACCTAAAACAATGTAGTGGGCCCTCAGCAAGTATTCGCTGTTACTGTTTTTGACTCAACTGCATTTCTGCTGTCTACCTATCCTGTGTTCCTAACGTCTTTTTTTAAAATCCTTTTTGCCATGTCCCCTTTTGAAGTTCTAGATAATTCACAATTCAGAAGTCCAAAACAGTGTGTGATCTCTTTCTAAGTGACTATGTATAACTGACTCTCTAATAATGAACATCTCTATTTTTCTGACCTATTTAACCTAGAAATGTTTGAAGTCTTACCTGTTCTCAATATTTTCTCTTTGTCTCCCTCCTCCTATCCATTTTTCAGGCTGCAAGAAGACTTGTTCATGTTATTTTGATTAACTTCCACCAGCTCACTCAGTTCATTAACTGTTGAGCTTCTCAGTGCCAGACACTGTTCTATGTGCTGTTGATAAGTGGTGAATTAAACAAGATTCCCTGCTCTCAGGTTAAAAAGGACTGAAACTGGAGAGAGTGAGTGCGTACATGTTTAAGAAGGTAGCTGAGGGCAGACCATTAAGGACCTTGTTAGCCTTAAGGAGGTTGCTCTTTATCCCAAGAGCAATGGGAAGTCTAAGGTTTTGGCAAGTTGGGGAGAGGTAATTATGTTTTACAGTGTCTCTGGTTACAGAGTAAACAAATGGAAGGAGTTCAGTAATGAAATGAATAAAACAAGTAAAAGGATGCTGCAGTATTTCCGTCAAGAGCTGTGATATAGAGTGGTGGTACTAGCTTGTACCAGAGTGTACTAGAGTGGTGGTGTTAGAAATCTGAAGAATTTGAAAGACTTAATGGGGGTAAAATTGGCCAGGTCTTGGTGACAGGCAGAGTTGATATCAAAGAAGAATTCGAAGTTTCACTCTTGCATGATTGGAGAAATAAACACGAGGAGAAACAAGCTTTCATGGTAGGGGCAGGAGTGCTAGTGAAACCCTCTTGGGTTTTGATGTAAAGTAGACCTGAAAATATCAGGCTATCTAGGAGAGTTTGCATTTTTGGCTTGTGTCTTCTATTTCAAAAACAGTATAGGAAATGTTAAAGTTTATGTGTATTTTACCAGAATAAAAAATACCTGCTGTGTACATTCTGGAAAATGCACATAATCCAGAAGAGTGAACTCCTATAATCTAACCCATAGATGGTGCCTATAAATAAACCTTGATGTGTGTGTTTTCCATAATACTATTAAACATTGTTTTAATGAAGACAAACCATTTAACAATGTTTATCAAGTGTTTATTGAGCACCTGTGCCAGACACTGTTCTTCACGTTGAGGATGTATGAGAGAGTACACCAAGTTCAGTGGTCTCCTCAAGCTTATTTTACTTGACAATGGAGAAGAGTAGTTGTAAATGCTGGGCATATCATTAAAATAAGATGATGGTAAAAGCAACTGAGTGGCACCTTTAGAGGTGTTCCCCAGTCACCCATTCTGGAGTTAACATGGAACATAGGAGCTCTCCAGCCAGAAGGACCAGCTAATTGGAAAATTAGAAAAATTTGGAGGGTAATGAGAAGAGGCTGGCAGAGGTGGAGCTGGGTCAACGATGGAAGGCAAAATGGTAAGAGGTGGGGTAGAGGGGATATAGGAACTAGACCATGTAATCTAAGCCAGAGTAAGGAGGGTTTTTTTTTTCCTAATTGTAATAGGAAGCCATTAAAGAAAATTAAGCATGAGAGTGTTATAATAATGCTATGTAGAGGATAGATGGTTAGGAGGACAAGCATGGAAGCAGGAAAACTAGGACACTGGTGTAGGGGTTCAAGACTGTATTACATCTGAGGGAGGGAAATAGATGGAATTTATTTTTTGGCAGCTGAATTGAGGCGTCTTGAATTGAGAATGACTCAAGTTCTGAATATTTAGCAGATACAAATCAATGAAAAGCAGACACTTTAAAATAGTGTAACCAGTAAAATAGTTATCTTTATACCCATTTTCATCTCTAAAATGAATTTTAGACTATATTTGAGGATATACTATGAATCACACTGCTGGTCGCTTTACATCTGATTTCATATTTAGGCAAGCTAAGTGTACTTATCTGTTTTACAGCCAAAGAGACAGGCTCAGAAGATGTAGTCACACTAGCATGAAATTATTTGAAATACTAGGTTAGCCAAAAGTGTTGATCTGCTTTGAAGGATGAGGTATTTAATTTTAGAAAATGGATTTTAAACACCAGAAATTTAAACTTTGAATGTGCATTGCATTTTTATCCTGGCTTTACTTTAGAAAATTGTAAAATCGCAGCCTCCGCATTAGCCAGCGGAAAATTATGGATCCCTTAATCAAGAACTGCTTTTGGGAAGCACAGCGTTAAGTAATGAGGCAGAGTAGAGACTTGGAACAGAAATCAAATAGCTGTCAAAATACTGTGAGTCTCTGAGCTGAGAAAAAGAATTTTTGGTGGCTTGTCATTTTACACATTACATCTTTTAATCTGATAACCCTATTAAAGTTTTAAACTTTTGTTTTTAAAGAGGTGAAATAAAGTTTGGAGAGGTAAAAACAAGGCTGCCTGCCATATGGTGATGAGGATAATGACTTTTGGAATAGAAAACAGATATGAGAGACATTTTAATGGATGGTGACTTATCAGGAGTGACTTAGAGTGATGTGTCAAAGCAGGCACTTAAACATAAGTGAAAGAAGGGAGAAAGACTTGTATGGCAGTCAGTGAATATTTGTTAGCATCTATCATGTTCCCGGAACCTTTCTAGGTGCTGGCTAGCAATACAGCAGGTATGGCCTACCCTCAGGAAACTCGTATTTTTTGAGGGAGAGAGGCAACAAATGAAGTAATTTCAGTCCTGATTAGTCCTGGGCACAGTACAGCTCATTTATTGTAACAGTGACTCTATCAGGAGGAGTACTGTTTATTTTACAGAAGGGTTAACTCAGGCCAGTAGGGTTAGCTACTTTTCTAAGACCATGTGGCTAATAGAGGGTAGAAGTAGTAGGGAATGTAATAGAGACTGGAGATGGGGCTGTTCCTCATTGCTGAGGGTGGTAATGAAAGGCCTGTGGAGAAGTACATTTGAGATCAGAAATGAGGAGAAGGTAGCCTTGAGAAGATCTGGAGGAAGAGCATACCAAGTAGAAGGAAGAACCAGTGCAGAGGCCCTGTGTTTGAGAGGAGCTTGGTGTATTCAAAGGCAATAAGGCCAGTGTGGCCATAACAGTAAGCAGATGATATCAAGAGGTAGGGAAGAGCTGGGGCCGGCCCAGTGGCATAGTGGTTAAGTTCGCACCCTCCACTTTGGCAGCCCGGGGTTCTTGGGTTTGGATCCCAGGTGTGGACCTACACTGCTCATCAAGCCATGCTGTGGTGGCATCCTGCATACAAAATAGAGGAAGATTGGCACAGACATTAGCTCAGGGACAATTTTCCTCACCAACAAAAAAGAGGGAAGAGCTAAATTGAGGTTGGCCTTGTAGTTTGGATTTTACTCTCACACTGGGATTGTCGGGATCTGAACAGGGAAGTGATGTGACATGAATTACTGAGGAGCCTGTCAAGAAGAGACGAGGAGGTGGTAGCTTGGATTAGGGTTGTAGCAGTGAAGATGGTGACAAACGGTCAGCTAATAAGAAATTTTGGAGCTAGAACTTAGAAGATGTGATTGTGGATTGAACTTTGAATGTGAGGGAAAGATAATATTCAAGGATGACTCCTAGGATTTCAATGCAAATTGGGTGGAAGGCAGTACTCTGTTGAGATGGAGGAGCACGAGTGGATTGTGGAGGGAAAATCACCAGTTCTTTTTTAGCCATTTTTAGTTTCATATGCCAGTTAGATGTCCAAGAAGAAATGTTAGGTGGTATGATTTCGGAATTCTGAGAGCTCAGTGCTGTGAGTGGTCAGTATAGGTCTTTGCAGCTATTGGATTAGATGAGCTCACCTGGGAAGAGAATGTACAGAAGAGGCTGTAACTGAGGCCTTAGATACTCCCAAAT